TAATGGTGACTGTTGAATTCTCTCTTGACAACACCGAATAAAAGTTTGCGGTCCTCTCCGGAGACCAACTTTCGATCAATTCAAAAATAATATGGTTAAATTCACATCAGTCCCAGACTGGGCCGCGTCAGTTCTGTCTCTCTCCCATGATTCTCTCTTGGTTGACCGAGTGGGTAAAATAAGGTTTGTTCGTTTATGATTGGGAGGTGAACAATCATCCAACCCAACTGCCACCCTGAACCCCCCTCCCCCACCTACATACACACACTTCCCCTGATCAGTAAAGCTTCTTTTTTCTTACTCTTCTACCACTTGAATGTCTAGAGTAACACTGTGCGTCGTTTCGCTTCGTTCTATAGCAAACATGCCCTGTTTTTCTATTTCATGTATCAATCTGTCTTTGTGTTCTTGCTCCACTTGAGACTGATCTGTACATGTAGGAAAATTCACAAAGACCGATGTGCACATACTACGGCGACGCTTAAGGACCGCTTTACAGCCAACCTAAGAAAGAAAAGCGAGGAAAAGTTTGAATTAAAGAATGTAATGTCGTCGATTTGAGGACAACAAGAGGCACTCTCTTTACATTATATATTAACATGTTAACAGTAATATCTCGGACGTCAGCATACGAGGGCGCAAGTGGAAGCAGCTATCATTCCATTTATGAGCTCAACGTGTAACCCACCCATAGCCCATGATATGAATGTAGTGTGATGCGTGAAAGGTAGACCACCGAGGAAACTAATCTAATAGTCGTTGCTAAAGTGGTGCAGCTAAAGCGCCTTAAAAAGCTGAATTTTAACAACACCTGAGTATAGACAACCCGTCACCTTGTCACGGCTAGCGGGTTCAATGAAACTGAGTTGTCATTTTAACACCTCAGTCAGCTCAGGAACTGAGAACTGCTTGATAGCTTTGCTTTGTATTTGATCCTGAGTTAAAGCAAAACACTGAATCAGAAGCTCAGTAAAATAAAGAGCAGTGAAGGAATATACTCAAAGAAATAACGTAAAATTGAATATTCAAAGAGCTAAAGGTGGATTTACCGAGGGTTGCACAAAATAGCGTTATTAATACACTAACAAATCAGTAGCACTTCTATCATTACTACAAGATAAGAAATGAAATTTAATAAAATAAGAATGGAGTTACATTTTGCAATTTGAAATAAGGATAAAAAATACTGAAGTTCAGAAAAAATTAGACGGAACATGTATATAATAATAAACTGAGAGAATCAATGTTTTAAAAACTGCTGATCCTTAAAAATACTTTTCCAAATAAGTGATTCCAAAGTGATTTTTTCGAAAACAACGAATGCGTCCATTTTCTCACAGAAAGAGGACTTTTTTGCCAATTTATTATTACACACCTCACAGCTGAGCCGTATACTTTTATTTTACAAGGTGTATAAAGGAGCGGAAGATTTAATCTACCCTTAAATCTTACGGAGCATACCTTTATTTTTCCTTCAACGTCTTTATCTAGTACTTTAGCAAATGATTTGATCGCATGGATGTTCTCTTCCATAACTTCTATCTGACCAATCTTCGAATCACTAGTAGCGTTCGAATTAACCTCGTCATCGGTGACGTCAGATTTATAAACGTCATACTGCCCATCCACAACGCCGTGTAATTTCCCAGCATTGAGAACAACCTTGTCAACCTTTTCCTCCCTGAAGAAGACATCACAAATCTCAAGTGCTTTTGGCTGAGATACTGTGAAAATCAATTTGTTTGGCAAGAACTGTGAATTCAAGATGCTCCTAAGCTCTTCGGGTAAGGGCTAGCCAAGGCTCAAGGGCAGGGTTGGAATTACTCAATCTTTTTAATTTGAGAAGAGTACAATAAACTACACTAAAAAACATATAGTCCATTGCACACTATACTAAGCCAAAGGAAAATACAGCCAATCGGAACGCTGGAGATTATTTGCACATCGGTTGGCATTTTATTGATCAATCCCATTATGCTCTGCGGTTTTACTTTCCTGTGCGTCGGCAATACTCGTCTTCGTTAAAGCTTGGTATGTTAACTTTAGACTTTCAAAAGTTAAAGTAGCAACCCTAGCTTTGAAGCACTCTCCTCACCGTTTGAAAATTTCTCTTGTCTGACGGCGGTGTCACCAAGAGTCGTAATGGGATTATTATTGTCCCATTACGACTCTTGGTGACACCTGTACTATCGCTGTAGCTGTGAAAGCTTTATGGTGATGATAACGTAGAAAGGACAAGTAATTCTTTTGATTGCTTACCTGTGTCAAAAAAGTCAAATACGACCATGCCCATATTACCGCCTTCAAACTGGGGCGTTTGATTTGGGTCGTCATATTCTGCCTGACATTTCTGTTTGATTAGACTGAAAAAAGGAACCATAATTCACACACGACAGCTTGGATGACATGTCTGTTGTATCACACTACTAAACGTTTTTCAAAGGGGAAGAACCTACCTACTGAGAATATCGTAGTTGATCTTTTTGTTTTCTTTTTGCACTTCATCCATGATTTTTACTAAAGCAGAAGTCAAACGGCCACATGGATTTGTAGGGTGTGGATCTTCAAATGCTTGTTCATTGTACGTACAGGCTGCGATGTGAATGAATCTATCATGTTGTGATGGTGTCCATCCTTCTGATGTCCAGAATTCCTGTTTTGAATACGAAAGACGTATGCCGCTGTGTTGCGCTGGGCTTGGAGGTTGGTTCTCTTGAATAGATGAAACCACTGGCTATTCATTAACATCAAAATCAGGATGTGTTAGTTAAACATTTTTTTAAGTTGATTTGGCACTTATTAAATACGTGATCAGGGTAATAAGTCTAATAATATCTTCGTTAGTTTTGTACATATATCGTTACAAAAAGCTTTACCTGATGATCACATAGTGATTCGTTGACTACAGTCGTTGGGTTCTCATGTTCCACAGGTTTTCTTGGACCTTTGGATTTCAGTATCTCGCAATACTTTTCGACATATTCCTTGGGCAAATTAAGCTGCAAAATTATAGATGCATAAAATATAAACGACCTACAATAAATCTCGATACTTCAGTACATGTCTGTCGTAAGCGTCAGTCAAGGCCGGGCGAGACCTTCTTTTGCCAGCAGGCTGCCCCTTGATCGGTTAAGGCGAGGAGACGGTTGACACTTCAGAATATATCTGATGTGTACGATTTTTTTTAATAAGAGGATAGAAAGAAAAGATTTATTTGCCTAGAGATGGAGACAAAACTGAGACCTGTTTTTTATTGCAACATTCAATTCATTTATGAAAATATTCAAGTTACCTGTTTTGGGATTGGAGGCGCTTTTCCTTTTTCCATAGATCCTCGGTACAAGCGACCAGAAAAACAGCAGTCGAAGATGGTGTTGACCACGCATTTTTTCTCCATTAGCTTACGAAGGTGACGCTTGAAGTGTTCACCTGTGATGCACATGTCGTTTATAAGATATTCATTAAACTATGGTAGAAAAAGATATATCAGTCAATTAATAAAGACGATTGGCTGAGGTATTCACGAGTGTGCAGCAGTTCGTTGGCGCGTACGTACATGTACAGCCAGAACGTTGCTACATTATCTTTAAATACTAAACCTTACTCAGCAAATTCGGCAAAGAAAGGAAGAAAAATAAACCCTGGTAACAGATCAAAAATGTCGCTAGGAAAATAAAGTGACGTTTAGAATTATTAACCGGTTGTCAAAAAATCATGATTTGGTGACCTAAACCCACGTCATGCTGAACATGATTTTTTTCTTATTATAAATTTAATGTAAGTGTTTTTTTTTACTTCTCGAACTCCTGGGTCATGTAATCAACGAAGGAGGAAAGTTGTATGTATATTATTGTATATTTTCCGCTTACCATCTCTTTCTTGAGGCCACCAGGAATTAAACCCTGATCAAATTCATCTTTTAGTTGATAGCCATGGCCACTAAAGTAGATTATTACCACTGATTCGTTGGGAACTGTAGATGAAAGTTCCTCAAGGGACCTCAATATCTCCTCTTTAGAGGCAAAGTCACCTTCAAGAACCTGAAAAAACCGTCATTGGGAATCAATGCGAATACCTGTTAAATAAATCAAGTCTAAAGACCCCTGTTGTAACTATTCCTCTCTTTTAACTTCCGTACCTTAGAATTTGAGTGATTGTAGAAAACTTCTAATTAACATGCAATTCCGAAACCATAAAACCATGAAAAGAACAGATCAACAAAGTTATGCGTGAAGATTGACTGTGTTTCAAACCTTTATATTCTCTAACAGGAAACCATTTCTAGTCAACATTTTCTTCATCAACAAGACGTCGTTGTGGACGCCTTTAAGAGGTTGACAGAAGGGCGGCAGGTCTGATCCATAACTTGGACCAATTAAAAGTGCTTGCTTCAACTTTTTATCCATCTGTAAACCGAATATTTATGCCATTTGAATATCTTGTACATAAGTATTAGCGGACTGCGTTTAAATGAGTCGCTGAAGTAGAATGAAAATAATAATAGGAAGCTGTTTTGCGTCACCACCAAGAAAGTGAAATTAGTTACCTATTTATTGTGTTTATCAGGCGGCCAAAATTAGCACAAAAAAGGCCGAATTTCAGTAGGTTCAGTTAAATCTCGTACTATTATTTGCTGGTACTTGTCCTTTGGAAAGTGATATTAAAACCGTGAGGATTCAAATTTGCTGAACGACTTAGAGGGTCAAAAGACTGATGTGGCAAAATAACCACACACATTAGTGGAAACGCGGCCTTTTGGGGCTGGCCTGATTCTGTGTTGTTGGCTGATGCTGTTGGCGATGTTTCGACAGTGTAATTCTTTTGGAGTGTTTATTTAAGGAAATTTTTCCATCGGATCCTGAAAGGAAGATTAATTTCACTTTTTGAGAACAGCATCAGTGCCAAACTTTTTTAACAGTTGTAGTACAATTAAAACGGAAAATTCACGCAATAGTTGTATGCCACTGAAGGTGTAAAGTAGCGCTACACAAAGACTGAGTCGGATTGGAAAATCTCACGAAGGCTGCGTGGCTTGACCGGATTCCATGAGTTTTTCTTTTGGTCAGTTGTTGTTGTTTTGTATTGTTTGTTGTTTGTCAAAAACGAGCGAACAAACAAATAATTAATTAGTATTAAATATCAGTTGTTAAAACAAGAAAAATCATTCAGAGAATACGGATGAAAATTCAAGAACATTCAGCTTGTACAAAAACGAAAAGCCCAGAGCTCGAAGGTTTTTCAACAGTGCACTGCTTTAGAAACTGAAAGATAATTTACTTGCATTTTCCAGCTTCAGTTTATGCTGGTTACTTATTTGAATCATGAGGACCAAGTATTGAGCAGCGGCAGCGTTGTTCTTCAAGTATCAAAAGCGCGAGCCAAGTGGGGCCGAGCAAACAACTGAAACTGAAACTGTTTATTCAAATAAACATGACAACTTTCTTCAACTTTCTTCACCTTTGTTTAATATACACAAGGAAGGTAATCATTTTCCTGTATATTATTCTACCTAGTATTAATAATTGTAGTTAATTTTTAACCACTTTTGTGAATTTCAAATTCAAATTTTAGGAGTTGTTAAGAGATATTTTATTGGCCTATAATACATCAGCCCTTTGCCGTAGTGCCAGCCCTGCATTGATGTGCAAATGGCGAATGACATTCAGGGCATAAAAAAAACTGAAGAAAGTCCCGTTGGATGATGAGGTGGAAACTAAACAATTGGAAAGATCTTAGCTTAGGGGAAGGGCATCGTAACAGGTCTTGTCAATGAGGCTCCCGTCCTTTGTAATATTGGAGAAAGAAGAATTTTTATTTGAGCACAATAGTTTTTATTAGAAGAAACAAACAAAAAAAAAAACAAACCAAAAGACAGAAGTCTTAGCAGTGATGAAACTGTCAATCCTCCTTTTGTTTTTCGTTTGCGTTACAATTGGAATCGAATGTTGCTATGGTAACATATGTCACGCCGCAGTTCAATCCTACATTCTAATCTACAAACACGGTTTTTTCCACCAATGCCTTAGGGATTGATTTTCCGGAGACAAATCGGTACTTCATGCTACGATGTACTCATGAGGAAGAAAGGGACATATCAACCTTATTTCTGGAAGCAAAAGCAGTTTATCCTTTGCCATGGAGACTCCACTGTCGCCTCGAGTGTCTTCGATTACAAATCACGATCGCACTGAATACTCGCCCATTGTGGCAAAAGAAAACTTCAGTTTGATAGGGGGACCAGGCACTGGCAATGATTTTCTTGATAACCAAGGAAAAGAGAATGAATGCACAGGATCTGTCGACGAAGACTTCGAAGAGGATGAACAACAAGTCCGAAGTCGAAAAGCTCAAACAATCAACAACGTTCATGGCAAACGTACAGGACATAATTCAAATAAAAAGAAATCTCTCCGTAAACGCCGTGTAACAGCTAATCTGTCTGCGACAAAATACGATATTGGTGAGGGAACTAGACACTTTGCTGTTGAGAAGCAAACTAGATTTTATCATGAATTGAATGCATGGGCGCCAGATTGCTGCGATTACCAAGGAGACATGATTACCAAAATAACGGTTCATTTACAGCGCGTAACGAAGGTTTACGTTTGATAAGATTTGAAGTGAATGTTTTTAAATTGATTCTTATTACTAAAGTATTGGTTTGATATGTTACTGGGTCATCAAGTGAATAAAATAAAGACAGTGGTGGTGATGATGATGATGATGATGATGATTATCATCATCATCATCATCATCATTATTATTTTAACGCCAAGGATGTATAGAGATAAAAAGGAACGTATGATCAGTGCAGGCAACCAAAGTCACCTCAAACTGTCAAGTATGTACATGTATGTCACTGTGCTGTGACAATGGGAGAGAGATCAGAAAAGTCAATTACCCCCAGAAATAATATTTTTGTCATCTTTTTCTTACTGGTATCAGGGTGATCTTCCTAAAATATTTAATTTTTTTTGCAGTGCGTAAAGTGTGCCTACAAAGTGGAATGTACATCACCAGAGATGATGACTTTAACTGGTATAGTTAAGACCAATTTTTTTATCGCACTAAATAAAAAAAAAGTGTGATCATGATGACTGACTGGCAATTTAACCATCATACACTTTTACTCCCTGGGGAAGGAATGTTGCAGGTTGCAGAAATTTAAGCCACATAAATTATATAACTTTACACACTTTGATCAAACTTACATTGCTTTTGTACAGTATGTGGAATGTTGTCTTTTAACACATTCCAGAATTTATCAAAGTTGAATTAGTCAAGACATAATAAATACCACCAAGTTCCTGTACTCATTTGGATTTTAATTTGCCCCACAGAGTGAATAAACAATAATTATGGCTGTTATATAGCTCTATGTTTTGAAACTTTGAAATGAGTGTGACTTCTGCAAATATTGTCATTGCAAAAAGAAATCGTTCTTTTGCAGTTTTCTGATATGGAGTGACTCAGCTGTTCCAGTAGAGAGAATAAGTGAGCTAAAATCCTTTCAGGTACAGAATGTGAACAATGTACTGATCTAACGTCAACTATTGCAACTAAAGATTATACTATTTGGTAATCGTCAGTAGAATTGAGTATCATTACTATAATAGAAACAATGTTTTAGTCTATGTTGTAATCCATTTTCAATGATTTTCAACTCTAAAAAGTTACAAAATTGAATTATGCTCTATCTTTTATTTTTCTACTTGAAGAAAATTAACCATTTTCCAAGTATGGGAGAGATATGTAGAAAAGACAATCTTGCTCGAAATATGGCCAAGTAAGTGACTTCTACACTGTATGTTGAATAATTAGTGGAACAAAGGAAATTGAGAATCAATCTAGGCGAAAACATTTAAACCTAAACTAATAATATTGACTTGCAACTATTAATCAACAATAAATAAGATAAATCCAAAACACCCGGCTAAGCCCCATTCGTTACAAGACTTTTAGCTACTGTAAAGCTTAACAATTTGGACAAAAATGTGATCTTCTCTGGGAAAACATACAATATTATTGTTTGGGTTTGTCACTGCATATCAATCTTTTGTCATGTCTTCTTCACATTATGCTTGAAATGATAACTTAAAATGCCTTTCAAGTCTTTCAATCAAAACAAACTACATCAGTTTGCGTTGCATTCATCTGTGCTTAGTAACCTGTTCCAATGCACTGAAAAAAAAATTTGCAAAAAACTCTAGGCTATAACCCGAGATCCCCTCTTGGGCTCAAATTTCACTGAACTTATTAGCTTTATTTTGTGTGAAAATCGCTTGGCTTATAGAGGAATGAATACAGTAACTTCTTACAGTACACTGTACATGTATAATCCCACAAAGTAAGGTGACAGTGGCTCTTAGAGCGCTTTTCTTAATATTGTCTGGAAGAATATATTCACTGTAAGGACCTTTAAATGGACTTTTTAAAGTGCTCAAAACATTTCAAATGACTTGTGTTTTTTAAGAATGCAGAGAGCTCACCCTGAAGAGTACAACTTTGTGCCACAAACCTGGGTTCTGCCAGCAGAGTATCCTTTGAAAATAATTTTAAAATCGTTTAGTCAGTGTAATGACAATAATAATTATATTATTGTTATAGTTATATATGAACCAAAATTGTATAAAATACACATATGTAAAACCCCTATTTTAAAAAGATGTGAAATCACATTCTCTAAAGACAAAAGACTTTGACATTAAACTTTTTGTATAACTTACATGATAAAATCTGAAAAATTGAAATGAAGCTTTATCACAAGTGCACATTTGCCTGATGGTGCTTTAATTTATTAATGTGTTATTTCACAATATATGAATTTTAATAAGTATTGCTAAAAAATTAATAGAATAGAATGTAAAAACTATTTATGTATTTGTTGTTTCTGACAAACAATCATGCAGTACCTGCAATAAATGTCCCCTCAGGTTTGAATACTGATAAGTAAAACACCTTAATGAGGTTGCACATTATATCAGATACGCTGCATTCCAAGGTTACTGTCGCGAACTGAAAAAAAGAAAGAAACAAAAAACATTCATTGTTAAGCCAGCTAATGGTGCCATGGGAAATGGGTAAGTTGACAATAATTATTATTTATTATGAAATATATAATGTAGAATGCCAGTTATTTCATTTACAATACAGGTGTACTCCATCCCATGCAGTAACCCTGCAACTATTTGACTGCCAGCTCTCTAGTGACTGCATCATCCTTAATTTGTAGGAAAGTCATGATTTAATTTTTTTTTTCACCATATACTACTAGTACTGACACACTTGTCTTTCTTTTAACTCTATATTTCTTACAATTTCAGAATTTCTTTAATAAAAATTGGAGATAGAATTCCCTCACATGAGCAGATAGTCATTCAAGAATATATTGAAAAGGTAAGGAAAAACAGTTTAAGAATTATCTAATATAATAATTAACTTTACAGCTCATTCAGTTAGTCGTCCTTATTAAATTAAAATTGTAAGGAGCCAGGCGGCCAAAATTTGATTTATTGATTACTTTGTGATAACAAACTTTATTTTATTACCTGTTGTACAAGTTGTAATAAAGGCAACGTACTAGCCTAATTATGGGAAGGGTGACTCAAGTAATAGATTATTATATATTAAAATTTATTGCTGGTAGTGATGTCTTAAAGATGTCAAGTTAAACTAATTGCAATAATTACTGATATATTTTCTAGCCATTTCTCCTTGAGGGATTCAAGTTTGACCTTAGAGTCTATGTCTTAGTGACTTCTTGTGACCCACTGAGAATCTTTCTTTATCATGATGGACTTGTAAGTACATTTAATATGAGTAAGGTGTAGTTCAAACGTCGATCTTTTTATGTACCAAGCCTAATCCTTTCAATTAAGTAAATGAAAAGATAGACGTTTGACAGATCTAATTTGGGTGGAACCCAAGAATTAATATCGAGGGGCCCACATGGGAATTTTGCATGTACAGTGACATCATTTCGTTGAATCAGTTGAACTTCTCATGTGCCAAACCTAATGTACAAATTACTAGAATTTTCACTTGTAAGCATTTTAGACCTTTGAACATTGTGAAAATGAATTGAGTCCAACTAATTAAGTTCAACATCTGACTCAAACATTGAACTTATGTTTGGGTCAAAGTAAATAGGTACATGTATTGTGTTCAGTACATGATAAGATTGACGTTTGAACTGGCCCTAATTCTTGTATCATTTTATATACATGTAACAGCTTTTTGTCGATCAGTTACTTATATCAACAGTGGATATGAATTTTTAAATTTTTTAGAAGAATCAGTAATCTGTACAGTCAGCTCTCTCTAAAATGGACACCTTAATTTAGAACTGGCACTCAGTGTCTGTCTCAGAGAGGCATCAGCAGGGCGTGTGTCCTTTGAGAGGAAGTCGACTGTATACTTTTTATATCCACTTTGATTCTAACATAAGATATATATAACAGTGGAAGTTAGTGGTAGTGCGGAACATTTATTTGCAAGCTGCAGTTTACTTTGTTTTTAAGGTTCGCATGGGAACAGAAGTGTATGAACCACCCTCAGATGAAAATCTGGTAAGACTTAACTTACAGTACATACATATATGACATGCAACTTTGTATAAATTGCTTTAATTAATTTAATCTTCAATCTTCAGAATATGCATTGAACACAGTGGAAATTGATCTATATTTAGATTTGTTTGCTTCGATAGGTTTTTGATAATTTAGTGTATTGTTCTTCAGTCCATTAATGATAAATCTGCTTTATTAAGTCATCGGATACCCATCAAAAAATGAAGTGGTACAACAGTCATCTTTATAAAGGTTTTTTGTTTGTTCCTTTTCAGGATGAGCTGTTCATGCATCTTACAAACTATTCAATTAACAAGCACAACGAAAATTTTGATCGGCATGACAGCAATGATAGTGGAAGTAAACGGTGAGAATATTTTAGATTTATATGCATCATTTGAAAAGATTCTACTGTCTGGAAGCTTAACTCGCTAAATTTGTTGAATTTTTTGAAGGTCCTTAAAATTTTTAAATGAGTGGTTACAATCAATGGATTATGATGTGAATTTTTTATGGCAAAGCATAACTGTAAGTACATGTATTTCAAAGGTTATTTGTATTTTCAAAGTAGTTTTCAACGCGGAATCGTAGGTGGCGAAACTGAGAATCTTTTTTTTTGTTTTGTATGTAGGATGTGCTCGTGAAGACGCTGATAGTTGCTCAACCCCATATTCTCCATTCATACCGAATGTGTCGGCCAGGAAGCCCGCCGGCCAGTGAAAGCGTCTGTTTTGAAATCCTTGGATTTGATATTTTATTGGATAGAAAACTCAGGCCTTGGCTCTTAGAAGTAAGTCATGAACTTCTTCAAATCGTTTACAATTTAACATTGCGAAGTGTTAGCAGATAAACGCGTCACACGCTTTGTCAACGTTCGTATGTACAGGTACGATGAAGAGCAAAAGGGCTTTTGGGTTAACTTTTCATTTTTTGAGCCAATGTAGTTTTTAGTTTCCCTTTCTTATTGGCATTAAACTACGTTAAACGAAAGACTTATTAATGACATACCTGTATTTCCTTCCTGTTAACTTAAAAGATTGCGCTTACTTTATACAGTACGTACACTTGCTTTTAGAAAAAGCTGGGGCACTCCACTCTGAGCTTCAAATTCATTTGCTGAAAACGCGAAATTTATTTGGAATACTCACGGTGAAATGGTTCTTTTTTCCTTCTGGTCGTTATTTTTTCGTTTAGGCATATGCCCAGCGAAGACTTTTACCGCCTCGGCCTCCTCCGCAGGCTAGTCTGGCTTTAGTCTGGCTTCCCTGTGGTTTGAAACGGGAAGAGAGGAAACTGGGATGAAAAGGAGGGAGACTGGAGTGGAGTAGTGCTTGCAGTGCGTTTGTAGTGCGTAGGATCCTTGCGGAGTTTTTCCGCGTGCGGAGGGGGCTTGACTTTAGGTAGCAGCATCTGTTTTCGAAAAGGAAGTTTTGGCGCTTCACACACTCGTCTAATACAAAGTGCAGTGCGAGCTTTTCAAGGTCTTTTAAAAGCTTGGGTTTGTGCATGGTCAGTTTACTACCCTTTTAGTAGTAAGCAGCAAGGATGGCACATAAGGAACAAGGCGGCAGTGATGACAGCGTGACAAATTGAGCACCGGAACTCGCGTTCAGTCCTTTCTGCGCGCTTTCCCGTCCTCAACTGACGTGCCCGTTCTGTTACTAAATCTTTCTAGTTTGTTTAAGTGCGCGGCCTTCTGTGCGCGAGGTCTTAAGTTCGATCCCCGGTAATACATCCTTGTTTAAACTTCTCTCCTTTCTGTGTGGCTTTGACTAGCTTTAAAAGCACTTAAAACAGAGCATTGATGGAGAGAGAGGGTAAAATGAACGCACCGTCGACCCCCAAAAGTGTCAAAGATACTGTAATGTCTTTTATGTTCTGTAGGTCAATCGTTCACCCAGCTTTGGCAGTGACACCAAACTGGACAGTGAAATTAAAGGAGGAGTCTTATTTGACACATTTAGCTTATTAAATATAAGGTACGAAGTGATACTTAAGAAAATCAGTAAGCAAAAAACCCAAAAACAATACTACTACTACTACTGCTACTGCTACTGCTACTACTACCACTACCACTACTACTACTACTACTACTACTACTACTACTACCACTACCACTACCACTACCACTACCACTACCACTACCACTACCACTACCACTACCACTACCACTACCACTACCACTACCACTACCACTACCACTACCACTACCACTACCACTACCACTACCACTACCACTACCACTACCACTACCACTACCACTACCACTACCACTACCACTACCACTACCACTACCACTACCACTACCACTACTACTAATGATAATAATAATAATAATAATAATAATAATAATAATTTGATTAATCTAGACCAATTTACGAAGTTTTTCATTTGCCAAGGGGATTTTCAACTTTTCGTATATCAGTTGCTAATTGTGGAGTTTTCTTTACTTGCGTCCTGGTTTTCACGTCAGCTTCCGGTAAATTACGATAGACGATTTACCCGAGGGTTTTTTTTAGGATAATGATGTGGAATGTCCTTTTGTTGATAACAGGTCAAGCGACAAAAGACGCGGTATGGCGGCCGAGAAGGCGGAAGCCCAAAAGAGATTACTAATGCAACCGAAGAGGAGCGAGTACTCTATGTCGGTAAGTGATAATCAGGAGGATTAATTGTGTCATATATGATTTTAGACGACGATGACGGCACCGTGTATAAACATTGTGAACAAATTAGCGACTGTGAACTGGCGCCATAACTTAGCGGTTTGAAAAATTATGAGTAGGATGGACATGCCTCTTTTGAGCACTTCATCGTGATATGAGAGAACAGTATTGGTGCACGATAATACTCCGCTTAACTCTTATGAAACTGGATATAAGTGAGATTTTAAAACGAAAGTAGCCCTGATATTGTAGTCATAAGAGTGTGAAAACATGAATTGATATCAATGATCGTGCGATTCTTCCTTAGGAACTGGAGAAGAAAAAACTGATTTTGAACAAAAGGCGAACTGAACTGGTAAGTGTCATCAGGAAGGAAGGCATCGACGGAATGGTAGAGCCGATTAAGAAACGTGAGAAAATAATCCAAATGTATTATTTTGTAGTTTCTGTCTTCTAACCGTATATTACAACAGAAGGGCTGGTTGAATTGAGATAACTATGTATCGATGCTAAAAAATGTTTATGTTTATCGTGTTGTCTTTTTGCAGAAAGACCGGCTTACTCATCTGAGAAGAGAGGCTGCGAGAGAAGAGTTTGAGAACATGAACATGGTAAATAAAAACAAGATACTAATAATACTTTGTCACCCAAAGAGTGGTCAGCATTGTTGGATAGCTCAATCCTACTCATGAATAATGTCTGTCTGATCAAGAGGACAGTTAATCCTCAGTAGCCGAGACATCCAATTTGAATTTTCTGACATGACCACCATAACTGCTCCAAGACAATTTCACGTTTCTTTCAGTTACCCAATCTTTCCTCGAAGTTGGGTAAGGACTGGAGAGTAATACTGCGTTTTTATATATTTTGGTTCTGCAGGGGAATTTTCGAAGAATATATCCTCCAGACGATCAAACAAGAAAGGAGAAGTGTAGTGGACTTTTAGCTGATGCATTTAAGCTTTTTTTATCCGGTGAGACGTGACACAGTTTATATATTGCCATTGTCGTCATCATCATCTCTATCATCATCATCATCATCATCTCTATCATCATCATCATCATCATCATCATCATCATCATCATCATCATCATCATCATCATCTCTATCATCAACATCATCATCATCATCATCATCATCATTAGACTGATGGTTTTCGGACTTTGCGACCTTGACTTCAAATGGTTCCTCCAAAGGCACAATTATTTTATTTTCCAGTCAAAAGGCATAACAAGTAACTAGAAGCTAATAAGTATACTGTGTATAAAAATGACCGGAAATGGTTAAAACGGGTCTTTATGAAGTTATTTTTTAAGTCGGTAAAGTCGTTTAGTCAACAAATCTAGTGGTAAAGACTAAAATTAAGTGGTAAACTCCGATTTTTACCAATTCTGCGAGTTATCTAGATACCATTTAAGAGTTTCGCAGCTCATGACTTACCACAGACCTTTTTATTTCTTCTTTTTTTCGAGCGATTGCAAACGCCTCGATATGTGCTACATTGAACGGTACTTGCGAAGGAAAAATTTTGCGAAGAATTTAAAAGGTGCGTTTTCAAACGCAAATCGAAATACGAAAGGCTGTATTCAATCGCTTAACGTGAAATTCTCGTCAGAGGTAGTTATTAGTAATATCTAACTGTCTTTTAAATTAGAAATGATAATATTTATCTTTATAATTTTTTTTCGAATTTTTTTTCTGAGTACCCCTTTTACCTACCGGGTCCCGTAGTCCACTTAATTACGCTTCAGATAGAAATATTAAAATATTTGGAGAACATTTTGACGAGAGAGCAGCGAATTGGAAAGGCGATAACGTTCAACAAAGTCAATGATGTAGCTCGAGTTTGGTAGTGTTTCGTAAAAACCACGAGCCGGGAGATCCATATTTATGAACGATGAGGTCGCATTTTCCACGGAAGTTGCGCTGGATTCTAAAGGTCTCTACGTCCAAATATTTTCAAGTTTGTCGTATTTTGAGGACATAACTGATCTCAGAGAGGTGTGAGGCTTCTGAGGTAAGTTACGTTTCATGTTACTTTGGGGAGACCGGTATCGGAAACAACAACAAAAAAAATTAATGCACCCCTTAGGTTGAAAAGTTGGAGCGTAAGTTTTGTTACCGCTTTTTGCGTTCTCAAAGGTAAACTACAATACATCGATAAAACCCAACAACTTGCAATGATGCATCATGTTTGAAACCGAGGTACAGTGGCAACCGTTTGTAAGGTACAAGAATGTTGTGCAAAACTCTCTTGAACCCCCTTAAATAGACCAAAATGGGTGTGGCTCAGACTATGCTTCTCCCCTAAAATAGCCGATTCTTAAAAAGGCAACCAGTTCCAGGGACCACTTAATACTGGAGCTGATGTGATCTATATTGCATCTATATTGCGCGAAGTTGTATGAAATTATATACTGCCGGTAACACAATATGAGCGCGTTTAAAGTAATTTTCTTTAATAAGTGGAGAATTTTGTATGTTTAAAAACATTAGATTTCCATCCTGACCACCCTAAGTGAGACTAAAGTCAGCAATTTACACTCCCAATGGAAACTAGGGTTAATAACAGATAAATTTACGTGCTGGTCATATTCGTTGGTTTAGTGCTTTTCACATCTTCAGATCTTCACGACACCTGCAGCTAATTAAATTAAGTATCAAATAGTACTTGGCGGGGGAGCCAGTGACTAGCGTTTTCATACGAACTGCAACTAGAAATTAAAAAATATATACATTCTATCTATGTGTGCGTGTATACTTATCAATCACAGAACGTGATAAGAATGTAGTAGGGATATCAATGATAAACTCCTGACTGCGGCTATAGTTTTTCCCTTTTTCACGTTTTGAAGGTCATCATCTGTAATCTACTCCATAACAGAGGCACGGCAAAATGGCTAATCAACGAATTTTACGGAGTATTTTTTAAAAAGGTGGGCGAAAACAATGTTGTAAACACGATGGAAACACAATGTACGCTGTAATTTTTTTCCCTGGCCGTTGTATTTTTGTAATTTTTGGACACTTTTGATAACGTGCTGCATTCAATAAAAAAACCGGAAGTGCAAGGACATTTCCCAGCGTGCATTGTGACGCTGCTTTCATTCCACGCTGTCGACCATGTTTTTTGTTGGACACAAATGCAAGTGAAGGTAATTGTAAAGTCCTTTAGATCTGGCTTTTTCAATCGTACAATCTTAGTGCTTTTGTTGAAGTATTGATCGTACAAGATCTATTATCCGTTTCCTCCGCGTTCAGCACACTTCTTACCCTGTTTTCTGCTGTTTTAGTATTAAGTTCTCGACTCCTGCGAGTGAGACATCAAGTCACAAGTGGGCAATGAATCCAAATAGTAGATACAACGGACCGAATATCTTACTTGAGCTCAAACAAGCCCGCGCAGATTTTCGTCAGGCTTGCCAGGGAGAAGAGCAATTAAAAAAATCACAGGTAAGCTTATAAAGAAACAATGATTATTTTTGTGAAGCAGAGTGAAATCGTAACGATTTGAACGAGAGAACTTTCGAAGAATATTTATATTAAGCATAGATGCTATAATAGTATCTTGTAGAATTCATATTTGGTATAGAACAACAATAATCTTTTGTACATGTATTTAAGCGACAGAGTACAACGATGAGACAAAACTGAGCAATTTCTGCCAATGATTGTCATTTTGCCGATTATTGAAAAAGATTATGTCACATTTTCTTCGATTTCTTTTTCTAGTTTCATAATTTCGTTTTTAATTATTTTTATTCTAAGAATATTAAAGTACACAGGAAGCAGAAATATTTCTTCATTCAAATTGTGTTTATAGGAACACTGTCATAAACTTGATCATGTCTCTGAATATTGTATTTTGTAAGGTTTCACTGTAGCACCTGTAAGAACGATAAACAATTACCGAGGATTAGTTTCAAACCTCTTTTCTTCCATTTGCAACCTTTATACAGCACCAGTTTCACTTACTTGAACAATGCTTATAGAATGTAACTTACAGTTACCATTAATATCATTATTATTATTATTATTATTATTATTGTTATTGTTAATGTTACAATTATGTAGGAGCATCTAATTTATCAGAGCTTGTTTGAATGAAGCCCTGACATTGTTAAGTTTTCTTCATGAGTGACCAGCTGTAGATACCTTGTTAGAAGCCCCTTGTGGAAGGGACGGGAGGGGAGGGGGGTTACTTGGGATAATCTTTGTCGGGTCTCTGCCACCACTAGCCTCTCAGAACCCCTACCCCATTACAGTGGCCATATTATAGACCCCATCTTAGTCACTTTAGAAAAAACGTGATCCCAACTTAGTGACTGTCTGTTTATGCATCTACCTTATAACACCTTTTGAGCAGGTCATCCATAAATTAACTGACATGTTTGTTAAATTTAATGTGGTGTAAATCTTCCTAATACCTAATTTTTCTGACCCCCAAAATCCTGAAAACGTGCGACCCCATTCTATAACTCTTAAATAAAAGAAATATAAAAGTCAATCCAGTCGTGAAAATACGACCCCATCCAGCAGCACGTACCTGTTAGCGTACTTCTAGGAAGTAAACCCCCTCCCCTCCCCTCCCCTCCCCCCGGGCTGGAAGTCTGTTTAGCCTCTAAGGTTTTTTTTGTAAGGGCAAAAAACGATAGAGGGTTTCCCCTGAGGGAACTCAAGTGAAGCGAATATTATAGGGACATGTATAAAACTTATATTTATGGATCAGACATGAAGCAGGGGTAATTCGGTTTCATAAACTTTTAACTGTAAGCTACATCTCTTTGCTGAACTCTTAGTTTGTAGTATCCTGCATTGCATGTCGTAATTGAATTGATGTCTCGTCACAGAAATGACAGAGTAAGCTGAGCTGACTAGCATATCCCTGTAGGATAACAAGTAAAAACATTAATTTGTAACTATTTTATATTAGAAAATGAGAACTCAACATCCATTTTAATGTGTATAAATAATAAAAAATTGCTTCACTTTTTTAGGCTGAGAGACACATTTGGGCTCTCAAAGGACTGTACAAAGTAGTAACCAAAAGCAATCCGCCGGACACTGAAAACGAGAGTGAATTATCGGGCCTGGAGCAAACGGAAGAAGAGACAACAAAGCAAGCGAAAGCCTTCATAAAAGAAACAAAACTAAGAAGATCTGAGAATAGTTCTGGTTCTCGATCAATAAGCAGGAAAAGAAAATTGCCCCAAAGTCACTCAAGATCAAGGACCCCAAAAATGAGCAAGGAAGATAATACAGACAACAGTCAATCGGAATCTTCAGAAAGTACAGAAAGCAACGACGAGGAAGATGAAGAGAAGGATGCGAAACCAAATAAAAGAAACAAATTTCGTTGCCCTCTTCGCGGCTGTGGCTCCAAAGTATATAAGCTCCCTCGTCATTTAAAGAATGTGCATGGCTGGAGTGCCGAAAGAGCCAGAAATGCTGTTAATCAATTTGACATGCGCCACGACCAACGAAACTCGAAGAAGCCAAAAGAAGTGAGGAATAAGAGAAGGAGAAAAGTCTGTTGCGAGTGTGGGCGCAAGCAAAGGTATCTATCAAAACACTTACAGAAGCAGCACGGGTACATACAAGGCACAAAGAGGTATTGGAAGGCTCTTAAAGAATCCCGGCCTGTCTATCAGTCCAGTGCTTCTTTCGCTCAGAATTTTGTCGAGATAGAAGGTGACTCACCAGGTGAAGAAGCTACTGAAAAAAGTAACCAGTTCAAGGAGAGTAAAAAAAATGCTGCACCTAGAGGACATATGAATGACGACACAGGGACCTTGGGGGCAACCAGTTCAACTTCGACTGTAGACAAAGTGATTGTTGTAGAATCGGCAAGTGATGGTGAAGACGACCTTGAATATTTAGAGGAGTGTGCAGAAAGCGATGATGCTGTGGAGGTCCAAACTGAAGCTTGTGATCAACAAAGTAAAAGAGTATTCGAAGCGTTCGGGAAATGGATCCTTAGCCCCGATGGGGGCGAAAAAGATGCAAGGCCAGCTGCGCTAGTGGTGCGACAAGTGGAGACAATACTGTCGATAATAGGAACACAAACCGTTGAAAGCTTGTTTGACAAGGCTCTAATTCGCGACAAGTTTTATCCAGAGTCGAGAGCGTCGCACAAGGCAGCAACCACAATCAGTTATCTTCATTCTTTGCGCAAGTTTTATACGTTCGCTACAACCGAGGATGACATCGGGCTTCCCAGAGGATGTGAAAAAAAACGGCAGACGCCCTCTTTAAAAAAATGTGGGCAGTGGTGTAAAAGTCTTCGTAAAGAGGTTAAAGAGAGATTTTGGGAGAAACAAGAAGAAGATCTTGCACGTCTTATTACCCCAGAAAAAGTTCAAGAGTTTGCTAAGTCAGAGTTTGCTCGTAATCAAGTCAAGGTCATTGGCGATTTGATAGACGAAGGCCAGAATTCTACACCTCTAGGCCAAATTGAGTACTGTGATTTGAGAAACTTCTTGTTCATACACCTGCTTTCCCAGAATGGGCATAGAAGCGGTGTCATAACGAACAGTACTCTAGATGAGTACAAGGAAATAAGCTGTGTCGATGAAACATACATGATATCTGTTAAAGATCATAAAACATACAGTCAGCATGGCCCAGCAAATCTCTGCTTCGATGAAAGCCTCAAAGGTTGGTTGGACATTTACGTCGAGCACGCAAGGCAGCAAGTTGTGAAGGGCGGTGGATCCACTTGCTTGTTCTTAAACTGGAAAGGAGCGAAGATGCAGAGCAGCGATCTGTCATCAGCTATGACAAGCGCCTGGCGAAAGGGTGGTATGATTGATAAGGAAACACGTATCTCAGGAACACTAATGAGGAAGTCATGCACAACAGCAATTCGACAGTACAATAAAGAGGTCAAGGGTAATGTCGCCGCACATATGGCACACACTGAACGAACTGCAGATAAGCACTATCATCTCGTGCAAAAGCGCACAAACTCCGCTTTTGCTGCTAGGCAATTGACGGCCGTAATGCATGGTAGGCCGAGTTCTCCTTCTGTACCATCACGTAGCAAAAATGATGACATCGAGCAACCTAGTATGAGAAAAGATGATTTTGATTCACCTCCTGAAGGAAAAGATGATGGTGATCTTGATGCGGTACCTGTACCTCCGGTCCGCCAGACCTGGACAAAGGAGGAGGAAAGAGCAATAAAAGAAACCTTCGCAGATAATATCAGCCGCCAATCAATTACGTTACGGGAAGTCCTTGCTCTTAAGCGCACAAATCCACTGCTCGTAGACTGTGAAAACAAAAGACTGTTGGACAAAGTGAGAGGATTGTACAGGTTCAAGAAATCTCAGGGTTCTCTTTTTGAAGACGTGGAGGCCAGTGATTGTAATGACAATGCGAGCGACTCGAACTCAATTATAAGTCCGACTACAACTCAAGGAAAATCGAGAGTTTTTGAAGAAGAGGAGGTGATGGTCCTTTCAAAACTTTTTAAGGACTTGATTCAAGGCAGTCAAAAGATTGAATCAAAAGATGTTGTACAGCGATTAAACGAGACCGGCCATGAAGACATCATACAAAAATATTCTAAGCAGAAAGTTACTGACAAGATCAGAGGTCTTCGTGCAACTCACATCAGGCAGTGGAGAAAGTAAAGGAGAGCATTCCTGATTTCATGGTGGACGATCCGAAAAAAATAAATTAAAGAAAAACTTATTTTAATAATTGAAAGACAGCAGTTGTCTCGAACAAAATGCTTTAGTTTTCTGTGTCTTCTTGGTTTTTTTTTTTGCGGAACATCTGCATGAAATTTATTTCTGCCATGTTACTACTTCAAAACCACCAAAACCTACCACTTCCTACCACTTCCGAAGTTCCCTGGACCTTTGTATCAGAACGAGGGTAAGTGCTCAGCCACTGATATGGAAATGATTTTTCATTCTCATGCAAATAAAACTCACTTTCACAAAAAAGGTTGTGCCCTTAGCCTCATTTTGAAAGTGAGGGCTTTTGGAACTGAGAAGTGGCCTATAGGTTTAGGATTTTTTGTGCACTGATCACCTTGAAATTTCTAGAATGGTACTACCTCGTTAGTCGATTTTTTGGTCATCACTACCGTCGTTTATGTATACGAACAATCTGTAACGCACGGATTTATAAGTATCAAAAAACCAGTTTGATGTTACTTTTTGCGCAGGAGTGGTTTTCGATAAATTGAAACGTTTACTCGTTTTTCGTCAAACACAACAAAGGAGATCGTTGGAAACCAATGTAAACATAACAGAAACAAGCGGAAACAGCAAACGCAGAATGAAGATATGTTGTACGTTTTTGTAACTACAATGACAGTGCCAATACATAAATTACTTTTAATGTTCAACCGGAAGCCACTCTAGCGCATTTTCATATTTTTTGTCCGAAAATTCTACAATTTAACTACCCTAGTACACTGTGGTAGATTTCGTGGTTATGTTAAGGATATTTAACAATGATTCCTCGAGCCGGAATGGCCATGAGGGCGAGAGGAATAATTGTTTCAGTAAAATCCAACTAGTTGGTCAAAAATATCGAGATAAAACCACTTTAGCTAGTTAAAGCTAGACTTTAATCCTTTTTTTGCCACCAAAAAGCCGGCACTTTTCGCTACTAGTGGGCTATCACATATAGCCTAGTAGTAGCTCATTCAATCAGAACACAGCGTTGGTAATAGACCACTAGTTGGGTTTTACAAATTCTCAATAGTATTCTTGTGGCCTCTGGTGCATCAACTACCAGTTTTGCCCTCGGATGTATCAATAAAGGTTTGATTAGTGTAACCTTTTGCATCAGAGTTTCTTTCAAATTGATTCCTTAGTAGTTTTACTCGTCTGTTGTTTAACACAACTGAGACGAACATCGTTTAGAACCCAACAGAAATTAGTGGAAATGCCAAACGCGGAACGTTTAGGGGTGTTTGTGTTTTCGTTTTCACAGACGGTGGCCACAAAAATAAATTTGCTATTGTAAGCCACTCTAGCCCATTTTCTTATTTTTTCTCAAATGCTGTTCTTATTGCATTGTTTCAAGGGAAAAAATAACTGAAATAAAGGATAATTTTTGTTATACACTGTCGTCATAGACTGTAATTACACTACATTTTATAACGTAATAACTTTTCCTGTTCTAAGCTCATTTTGATCGTATTGTTCCCAAAGGCTGCTGAGTGACAGTCTCACAGTCACATCTATTCAGAAGTTTTGTCCAACTTGTGTGATTCAAGTGCAATAGAACTGTCTGTCAAAAACAGATAGAATGAATAATATAGGGATGGTAAAGATAGTACAATAACGTAGTCCTTAAGTCAACACAAAAAGTCGTTGAGTCCACAAAAAAAGACGCTGAGTCCACAAAAGGTCCTCAAGTCCACTTTGCCGTAAGTCCCTAAGTCAACTCCAAGTCTCAAAGTCAACACCACGGTCCTTAAGTCCACATTTTCGAGTCGCCGAGTCCACAAAAAAAGGTCCAAAGTCCACCATCAGTCTAATCATCATCATCATCATCATCATCATCAACATCAACATCATCATCATCATCATCATCATCATCATCATCATCATCAACATCATCAACATCTCTATCATCATCATCATCATCATCATCATCATCAACATCTCTGTCATCATCATCATCATCATCATCATCATCATCATCAACATCATCATCATCATCATCATCATCATCATCTCTATCATCATCATCATCATCATCATCATCATCATCATCATCATCATCATCATCATCATCATCATCATCATCATCATCATCATCATCTCTATCATCATCATCATCATCATCATCATCATCATCATCATCATCATCAACATCTCTATCATCACCATCATCATCATCATCATCATCATCATCATCAACATCATCATCATCATCATCATCATCATCATCATCATCATCATCATCATCATCATCATCATCATCATCTATCATCATCATCATCATCATCATCATCATCATCATCATCATCATCATCATCATCATCATCATCATCATCATCATCATCATCATCATCATCATCATCATCATCATCATCACCATCATCATCACCCCTAATCCTGACCTTAACCCTCCCTTTTTCCCGTCACCGCCCCCTTTTCTTGGATCATATACTCATATCTTCTTGTGCCTTCCACTTACGCGTCTTCCCTACTAACTGAGAGCCTGGAACAGGCTACATCATCATCATCATCATCATCATTGATAATTTTGCCTTGTATTTTTGTTCTTGGAATCCATTTCTAGCCAGTCTAGACCACAGATTATTATTTTTGTCTTTGATGTCGTCCGTTTACTAATGGGTGTTTTTTTTCACGCTCTGATTCCAAGTCAAGCTAAAGCACTGCGCATTTGCTTCTGTTCTCTAGACCAGTCGAGACACTTAAATTTCGTTTTGGTTTCTCACAGATTTAGCCTTCCACCATTCCATTTCGACTTGCCGTACAATGAATAGTGATGAGGATTCTTTGTCAGGGTTGTTTTTTGTGATATGCAAAACTTATTTCCTCTTATCTGATCTTGGATCCAAATAAATGGGATAGGAAAATACATTGTACAGTAATACTTTTGTTCATTTGATAAATATCCTTTAGGAAGAGCGACATCTCTCCAAAAGGAAGGTAATCAACCATTCAGTACTCTCAGGGTAGGTATTAAACTAACCGTGTCTAGTCAATTCTTGTGTTAATGTATTTCCCTCGGTAAACCTGCTGTGGACTAGCCGGCCACCAACGAGAATGACAACAATTCTGTCTGACGAGAGGTAGTTATTCTTTTCTACAACGAACCACGGTCCAGCAATGCCTGAAGTATGCGTCAGAAATATAATTCGTTCTGTCTATTTCTTGCAGGAAGAAGAAATTCTCGATTTATTGGAACAATGCGAGGCTGACGAAATTATAACGTTCGACTCGAAAAATGGAAACCGTCCGATGAGCAAAGGACCGAAGGTATATCAAATATTTCTTCTTATTATCGCTATCCTATGATACTTTCTATGACACTTGTAACGTAATTTTCCTATTTTTTGCACGTGTGGCGATACCCTTTAAAGCAATAACTTGTTGTTTTGCTTTTTTTTTCAGCCGTTGTCATCCATGCCAAGTGCAAAATCCACACAAAGTAAAACAGATGCCTCCTCTTCTTCCTCTAATTCTTCAAACCCATCAAACACGATGCCATTACGGCCTGCATCTGCTCAAAAGACACCAACCAATCATAGCTTCATATTATCTCGCTCTTCTACGCAGAGAATAGTGACGTCAACGTCCTCTCCGCCAATGAAATTTAACCCTGTTGTAGTGAGTTGGTTTTATTATAGTTTGTTTTTTTTAACTCTTCAGTAGTACAAAGAGGTTCTGTCAGTTTTTGTACTACATACAAGATGAACCTTTGACCATGCTAAAAAGGAGAGACCATCTGCACCGTAGCCAACTCTGACCTCTCTATTTTTTCTCCCAAAGGACTCTGTCTTTCTAGATGCCGCTGTTCGGGAGAGAGAAGAAGAGCTTAGTAGGCGAACATTGCAGGCTTTGCTTGACATGAGAATAAAATTTCCCGGCAAAACAGATGAAGAAGCTGAAATCATATTGGAGAGTGTAAGTACGAAACTGACCTTTTAGCAGACTGATCAATTTTGCTGCTGCATCCGCTTGAGTGACCTAAAGTTCCAACCTATTTGCTGCACTAATAAGAACACTGAGAGCCATTCTTTTTATTGTCACAAGGTATGCTCAGTGAGCTATTTAAAGTCAGACACCTTTTTAAAAAGTGGCCAGTAGCTTGCAAACCTGAATGTTACGGTACATGTTTGTAACTCAGCTATGTATAAGGAATACAGGCTGCAAGAGCTAATCTCTCGAATAGGGTCACTATGCTGTATTGTTCCTATTTTCAGATTCAGGATAACTGGAAATTTCATAAGCCACGAGTTGCATCTTATTGGCTTGTCAAACTTGACTCGATAAAACGTAGAAAGGTAAGAGGAGATATGACTGTTTAACATCTTACTGATACGTGACACGTAAAAGGGCGCAAGTCTATTTTTGCACTCTTGTTTATTTTAAAAAGCGATCTTTCCTTGTAGCCATGGGCCCTGATCTTTGAAACAACCTGGTAGATAATGCATGATGTGCTGTTGCGTATAACTTAATATTCAATTGACGTTTCTTTTCGCAGGTTGTTGATATTGTTCGCACAAACGTTCGTGCCATATTACAGCGCGTATGGCGGGCGTCTGAAGTGGACAACTTGCGCCTGTGTCGCGTATTTTCGAGGGTTTTTAACAGATTATTGTGGAGCCATGGACAGGGATTGTGGAACTGCTTCTCAAGTCTCGGGTAGGTCATTTAAGCATTGCAGGTTGGTTAATAACAACTTTGCTTCACTTATGTTGACTTGGCCTCAATCATTTCGTCCGCTGTTTTTTAGAAATTCATGGGAGACAATATTCAGTAAGAGCACGGAAGTGATATCACTGGTAAGTATTGTTTTGAAGATTTGACATTTGTGTTGATACATTTATCTGCGCTGCACGAGTCTCTGTTAGGACGACGTCCTAAGCTGTCATGAAATGTGGTACTTTTGGTTCTTTGAACTGTTGCAGCAAACTTTCCCCAAGGTCGACGCCCATGTAGAGCACACTCACTCTTAGGACGATCATCAACGACTGGCTGATTTCAATCAAATCTCAATCTTTTTTCAAATGTAGCTAGACTCTGTATTGAGAAATAAAAATGCAGAAGTGACCGGGTTATTTTTTGGAACGAATGACTATTTAGTTCATGGCCACAGAAGTCTGAACGCAAGTTTAGTGACGCTGGCCTTTATTTGTCTGTTGTTTACAGACTGAGATGAGCTGCTGTCGTCGGATTGTTCAGTTGTGTCGCGACTGTTTGCTGATTGTGTATCAGTTTGCTGCTGATGCTAAGGCTGCGGGCGCTGGTTCTGTTTTGTATCGAACAGCAACACCTCACGATGGTGACACGAGGTACAGTATAACTGACCAAAACGGCCACGGGGGACATTCTAATATACAGATGGGTTTTCTACTCCGCATAATATTTTTAACTACTTTTTTTTAGAAAAAGAAAAGAACTACACGTTTGTAATGGAATCTTTCCTTATAGCTAGGAGTATAAAATAGCGTGCTTGGTTACGGCCGATTGATCATTAACTTTCCAGCTACACCTTCTCGTAGTGTCTGAACTGATAAATTATTACATTTTGGACGTTTTTCTAAGGCTATTTGTCTTATATCATAGACATACCGACATTGTACGAAGAACTCCAGACCTTTCATCACAGCAAACTCTAACAGCAAGAATGTCAAAGTACTGCAGATCCGCCCAGTTAACATAACGACACTTAAGAGCAGGGGACCGATGAGCTTTCAGAAAGTTCTCAAGAGGCAAACGTTGAGCACTAAAGGGTGTTACTTAAACAAGCTTATTGTTGGATAAAGTACAAACCAGAGCGCTCTTGGCCGAATGGTGCAGGCGCTGCTATCATAAAGCATTATTTTGCACGAAATGATAGTGGCTTTTAGCGAACATTTCAAGTTATTTATTTGAGAGTTTTATTTATAGTTAGCAAAATTATATCATCGTCCAGGACAATTAACTCGCAAACCCTTCTTCTTAAACACAACGGGTAAAAATCTTCCATAAACCTGCGCAATACATACATCCATACATCTGGAAACTAAAGAGGATATCGTGCGGGTATTGAATTGCTGAAGGGTACTAGAAGCTATATCGAACATCACCGCTTATCATCTATTTCAGTGTACGCAAAATTGACATCCATTTTTAGTAAGTAAGAACCTGCATTTTTCCAAGTTGACCTGAACAGGTTCTTAAATAAATGGTAATTTGCACAAATTTAGGCTATTTAGGTTCTTGCATAGGTTCCCAATTTCTGAAGAAAAAAAAGCTAACTTATATTTGATTTACAACGTTGGCATTTACATTGCATTTGGAGTGATAACGCACCTATGTCTCCAAAGATGATCCTGAATGTTGACTTATCTTATTTGTTTAAGTGTACAGAATTGTAAGAATCTTTTTCAAATTTTAGGCTAGAAAGGTTCTTGTATAGAGGGGGTCTAACTGGGAAATTTTAGCCTAACAGGTTCTTAAAAACCAGGTTCTTAGTCGCGGGTCTTTACTGTATTTGTCCCTGTACACAATACTCGGCTTGAATATTTGAGTATAATAAGAGGCTTTATTGGACTGATTTACACAAAGAGATATATTACTAAAATATCTGATCGTATACATTTATTGTCCATGTCAAATAGGAGATTGTAATTACAGTATTTATTGGTTAAAAAATATCAGAATTATTACATGAAAAGTATGTTACGTTATTGTGGTCTGTATTATTCAATGATAATGTGTTATGTGCAGTTCAGTAACCATACCATTTCAGATACATCTGAGCATCGGTTAGAATGCGTTTACTATCTTGAAATATTTCAGGAATGTTTTATGTTCACGGTGTGAAGACCAATCAAAACAAAGATTATGACAAGGGACAAAACCACAAACTGTATAGTTAAAGGTATTTTTAAGAATTGCTTAAGAACCTGAAAAGGCTAACGCGGAGAAAAAAATGAAGTTAGAAATAAAATATACTGAAATAGCAACTATGAAATGTTATTTTCCCATTAGTTTATGTTCGGATGTGTATGTCAAGGCGGAGCTTTGTTGCTCAGCTGTCTGATCAATGCTATTCGAAATACTACATGTTAAAGACCATTTTTAAGGTAACAGTTCATAAAAAGAAATGCGAAATTACCTTCATATTTGGTTTTCTTGTGTATTTAATTTCCCCGTCCTCCTAGCTCGGGATCAATGCAGAAGCCAGGTGCCTCCACTGTGGAAAGTTTGGAAATCCCCACTTCAGTCCCAGTATTATACGTCATTGCATGAAGCGTGGAACTGGGACAAATAAACCAAGAAAGGCGGCTGTTGAGCAGTTAGGTTGCTTAACAAGAAAACCTGTTGATCAAAGGTAAACAACAACAAAACTTAAGGTAAGCTATTTCCCAATTATTGAATAGTTGAGAGAATTCTGCCGTTTTAAATGGAAAAAGGCATTGGTTTCTACATAGACAGGCAATAAAAAGCTGTTAAAGCAGTACGATACAGCGGTGGCTTATATTAAGTTATGTCATTTCCCCTTTTTAACCTGACAACATTTAGACGCGTGCACCCTTTTAGTATTAATAGGCCACCGTAAGAGACGGGCGGAGCAACATACACCTGCACGTGACGTCACGCTCTAACGAAGCGCGACATAAAGCAAAAGGGCTCAACCGACTTGACATTTCGAAGTCTTGCGATCCTGTCATAATTTAAAAAGTTTCTCTTCGAAGTTTATGAAGAAAGATCACATCACCGTGTTTTTCGTTGTAAAAAAAATCTTGTTTCGCACACGGAAGCGATTAATCTAAACATATATCCTACGACCGCTCATGTGCGTAATTTCAATAAATTAAATAAAACCATCAATGGGGGCTGATATTTGGATGAGAGTTAGACATATTTCACTCAAGGGCCGATATCTGAATGCAATAAGAGAGGTGTCTTATATTCATAGCCTTTAGCTACTACTTTATAGCTGTAGAATTTTAACAAAGACAGTTGCATGTGCAAAACATGTGTTTTAACAGACAGTTTATGTATTAATAAAGATATTCCGCATGAAACAAGTTAGGCAATTTTGAAATTGGATTAAGGTTACGCCATCATATAACAATCACGATAATGAATCAAAGCCGATTCTGCTCGTTTATCGGATAAACCTTTTTCACTTTCATGAAATGACATATGTGCATTGGTTTGTGGCGAAAAGAGTAATTAAATCGAGTACTAAGACATTAATTTGCCTATTACGCGGTGTTGCAGGGTTATCATCGTATCACCTATAATATCAATTATTCGCCTTAATTTACTGCTTAAGGGAATTATTCATCAGGCAGCCAGCCCTGGTTTTGTGGTCATGTTCTGATACCAACTAAGCGAGACTAGCCACAATACGTGTTTTCTGGCGTCAAAAGTTAACGCGATCGAATAAAGCTACTTTGTATTTTTCTTTATCACTTTTCCGTTTCTTCTGCTCATGATGAAATTAAGAGCAAAATTTTTTAAAGGTCTGCCGCAATCTTTGTTTTGATTCTCGAACGTTTTGGTTCTAGTTTCGCCTATACTAGCATGTTCTTGTAAATCTGTTTATCTGTACTATTCTGCTACAAGCACTCGTTTCCCAGTAAAATGATACTGTTGTGGCTTACTTGCAACACTATTTACTTTTCCGAAGCGATCCGGTCTTTAAAAATTGTTCCTATGTGTGCATGCGTAAAGTACAGCTGGGCCCAGTTGTTCGAAAGGTGCCGGATAACGCGATCCACTGGATAAATCTCTATTCACTGGATAGCGAAATTCAGTCCCTAATACTTATTCACTTGATAGCGATTTATTCGGTGGATAGCGCAATTGGTTTCCCTAATACTTGTCCACTGCATGGATAGTGATTTATCCGGTGGAAAGCGCTATCAAATGTTTGAACAACTGGAGTCTGATTTTTCCTATTCCCAACCTTGCGAAGGTAGCAGCAGTTCGACAACTGCATTCAGGAGCAGTAATTTTTCAGTCACTCAGAAAAAAAACCTAAAAAGTACCGATGATCGGTCCCTGAATGTGAGTGACAGGTTTTTGACTAGCTACAATGCGTCAGTTTTCTTTAATTTCTCTCATAAAGAAAAAGGGTAGATGAAACTAGGTTCTTTTTTCTTTTCCATTATTTAAGGCCTAACAACCACTGGTTGACTGTCGCTATACTTTGCTGTATATTTGAAAGGAAATTGTCAATGATACGCTCATTGTTGTTCAAGAGTGAAAAAATATCGATAATGATTCTTTTAAAATATTGATTGAAAACTAGTATTTCCCCGGTCGAGGAGCGCTTTGTCAATACTCGGCACTGAATGCATGCTAGCTGACTTAGTACTATAGGTCTGTTTACTGGTTACGAAAGAACATTGCTTTTCTATAAGGATACACGACTGAAAAAGTGACCTACCTTAACTCTTCGACGCTGCTAGTTCGCAGACTAACCTCAGCTACAAAGTACTCTTCTTTGATACGCATTTGATGGTGTTGTAGAAGGCCGTTTTATTTTTAGAGGAGGTGGATGAAAAACTTAAGTGAACACATCCAAAGAAAGCCGCCTGCTGAGTAATGCTTGTTGCGTTGCGATTCTAGCTTTTGAATCACTGGATCAAATGGTAAAACCACAATGTTGGCTGTGGCACTGTCCCAGACCACTAGATGTAGAAGTTTATATTATAGTTTGAGTCTGTGGATCAATTTTTTTCCTTCAATACTGTTTATCGCATTGTACAGGGCCTCTGTTCATTTTAAAGTTTGTTATCCTTTCATGTACAGCTGAATAGAGACCTCAGTAGAACACAATACCACACTATTCTGTGGTTTAGTTTGCGATGTTGCACAATTGTTTCAACCTTTTGAGTATTTGGATGAATCCAAGTTAAAAGTAGTATTTTAATGCAGACTGGTTCGTTTTCCAAAATATATAGCATTAAGCAAGAAAAGAACTGAATTCAGTTTTTTATGCTCAGCTCTTGAAAGCTTTTTGGTATCTGTAGATGTCTGTTACCTTACACAGTACATAAGTAAAAGATACTATAAGCGTAAGCATGAGATACCGATTAACAACAAAAAATGTTTCATTACACGTGCCTGAATTGCAATTAACAAATTTTTATTATTTGTTTGAAGCATTTCGTCAAGTTAGAAACCCCATTTAGAGCCTTGAATGATCCTAATTGTTTTGACAGGTGAAGAGTAAGGCATAACTCCACCCATTGTGAACAAAACATTTATTTCACTATCTGGTTTAATTACGTAAGTACAAGTATACATGAAAAACACAGAAAGCGATATTACCAAGTAAGATAAACCTCAGGCCATGCGTACCTTTCCTCCAGAAATTTTGCTTTTTCCGCCAATGTTAGGAGTCTTAACTATTCCTCAGTACAGGATTCGTTTAACGTGACGAGTTTTGATCAGAATTTCTATTGAAGCATTGTCTTATTTATTTGATCTTTTTATTACGTGAGTTTTGTCTTTTATCTTCGCAACGATGATCGATTATTTCATTTAGGAAAAAAAATGAAAAAAAGGTCTGCGCATCAATCCTTTCTCTCTTGCCTAGTTATGTCATTTCGCAAATCGTCTTCTACTGTCTATAATATAATTTCCTGTGGGAGCAACCAAAAAATAATGAAATTCACCTCAAAAGCTCGCGGAACACAACAGGGAGTGATGAATTGTTAAAGCTTTTTATTCAACTTGATAACTTTTAATGAACGGACAAGAGTGGAAATGAAATAAACTACAATTAGCATACTCAAGATCTGACAGGTGTTACAGTTTTTTTGTCGCACGAATCATCAACAAAACTATAACAAAATTAGAAACCTTTGAGAGGATAATTTCATCACTACTTAGATTAATTTTACTCGAATTAGCTTTCTTTAAAAAGACTACATTATTCTCTCTATATCAAAGTCTCATTGGTTCCAAGTGAAGAAGTAAATGTAAAATAGCTTTTCTGTGTTTTATTCCCTCATAAACATATACCAGAGAAAGTTCCGGATTTATCTCTGTTTTTGATCAACATAAATATTCCTCATCGATTCCCACATAGTCGAGTTTTGTTTGATTATTGTTTGTATATTTCGGAAAATATGAAAGGAAATTAAACCCTAAAAAACGTATGGTCTTTACAATCATTTAGTTTGAGAAATTAATAATTGTGAAGTGAAGTAGCAAACAAAACTGTTGAGGTTGTCACTAAATTGTTGACCCATTGCATGGATTGTCTTTCACACTTTTCAAATTTTAAAAGCCAGCTTCGTTCGCGACAAAAAGAGTTAATCAAATTTCAAATTGATTCTCGGTGAAGTTAGAACAGTGAGTCTTAATTTTCATTTAGCGTAATCAAACGCAAATACTGGCACTTATTTGATTTATTTGTTTAAATTATACCCTTCACGTTTGCGAAAGTTTTAGAGGCCAAAACAACAGCTATTGGGAACAAAAAACAATATATTAAAATTACTCACTTTAATTTGATTTTGTTATTCCCTACTTGCTTACAATTTGCGTCGAATGATACATCTAACTTAGACATACCCTAAACATTAAA